AAGGCCTGCGCCTCACTCGCCAACCTGACCAGCATTGAGCGCACCGTCTTCTTCGACGCGGCCTGTTTGCGCAAGAATGATCGCTTTTTCGACAAAAGACTCGAGGTCGTCACCACCCTCACGCACGACGGTCGCGATGTTGAGTCGTGTGAAGCGGGCATAGTCTCTTTTGTCTTGACCTCGCTCGACACCTGTTTCCTAGCCAGCAAAGACGCCTTGAACGCCCAGAGGAGCAGGTCAAATGGAAAGAAGGCGGCTGCAAACCCGCCGCAAGAGGTCGCCAACATGTTCCGCGCATTCCAGTTTGCCATTGACATTTGCAAATTCAACGCCAAGGTCTTCACCGACGACGACCTGGATCTTTTGATCAGAAGGACTGTCGCTATTTGTAAAGCCACCTTTTACAGGCCTGATGTCGAGTGTGGAATCAAGCTCTTTGACACCATCATCACCTACGTCCATGTACCCACAAAGTCACTCCACCCTTGCTTACAGGTTCTGAGCGAAATTCACAAGAGGATTCCTGGGTTTCAGGACCAGGCGTGGAATACTTTGAGCAACCTTTTCAAGTCCCATGTTGGCCAGGCTGCGATATCCGTCTTGTTGCATATGCTCTTGGATGGCCCTACACAGGACAACTTACATGATGCTGACAAGAAAAGGCTCGATAGCATGTATACAGGAACTACCCTAGTTCTGCGTCTCCTTCTTTTGGAAAATGGCCGCAATGAATTGCCCAAGGTGCCCATGTCGTTACTTTTCCCTGCACTCAAAGCATCTATTCAAAGGCCCAATACCGACCAGGAACAAATCATCATCAGCTTGATAGACACCGTTCTCGACCAAGACGGTATGAGAGACTTACTCCTGGCCGAGAGCGACTTGGGAGATTTGCTCGAGGTAATCTGTGTATGTGCTGAGCGTGATGATGACCGCCTTCGCGCCAAAGATGCCAAGACATCAGATACCCTCAGTATTGAGAAGAAAGCCTCCTTTGACAGACAACTGTCTCTCCCCGATGACAACAGATCGAGCAATGGCCGTTCTATGGCCCGACACCGGTTTGCCTCGTACTCTCCGCCTATTGGCGGAATGGAGCACGACGACGATGTAGGACCACACGATCAACGTGCGGCATCACAGCACGAGTTTTCGCGACGAGATGCTGCAGATGGCATTTTCAAAGTATTGGCCAAGCTAGATCATCTTAGCGACGCATTTGATTTTGTCCAGCGCGAAGCTACCATGAATCTCTTTCTGCGTCTGGCACATCGCGTGAGCGACGCAACGGCAGAGCGAACCATTCGCTACTTTGCAGACGAACGCTATCTCAACCCCTCAAACGAAGATTGGTTGCATCTTTGCCAATGCCTTGTTACAGGCATCTTCAGCGACTCTACCCGACCGCGCTCACTTCGTACCTTGGTGATACAGGTGCTGCGGGAAACTTACAGCACCGTAGAGTTGCTGTGTGAGGGTGATGCTGTGTTTCAATGCCAAGACCTTTTGCTCAACCGACTTGAGCCTGAAGACGACATTGAGGTCTTGCAGGAACTCGTAGACTTTTCCCTGTACGTTGCTGATCAAGCACCCTTTGATCGTTTTTCCCATGTGGCCCGTCTCTTGAAGAAACGTCTGGATCGCCCGCAGCCTCCACTACCAGTCCCGTCCGCACCATGGCAATCTCATCCATTTTCTACAAAAGACGACGGATGTTCCCCATGCAATGTAATAACTACTGTCTATGTGCGGCTATTTACGCGTAGCGTTATCCATTCAGCACAGAAGACCCGCCTTCTGTACGAACTGTTACGGGAAATTGCTGGGAGTGACAAATACGCGCATGATGCGCGCCTGACAGCCCTTAAACTATTATTCCGTTTGCGTGCAGACGCTCGCTTTGCTCTCATAGTCAATTCTTCATCCGAAGGCCAGAGGATTGCTGCCGAGTTATGCCGCACAGAGGAAACAGCTGTTACTGAAAGGAGCGATGAAACTACGCCAGGGGACCACGCTCGACTGGAAGACCATTCTTCCTGGAGGGAGAATCGGAAGGCCTCTGGAACTAGTCCTCGTTCTTCCCTCAATCGCCACTCTGGGCGCCAGGTTGCTGCTGCAGGTCGCGTATCAAGGCCAATACCACCTCTATGGATGTATCCTGGCCCGAGGGGCCTGCCCGAAGAACCATCGCAAGAATCTAGTCGAGTTGTCTTCTCACACATCGATGCTTCAGAGTATCCTCTTAGCGACAATATCTTGGACATGGAAATCACATTGTGGCTCGAATTGATCATCTCCCTGCTCCAGAGACCGCCTGATTGGGAGATATACTCTTATGTGCTCACGCATCTTGGCCCCCAGCTCTCTAATCAAGCATTGGTCCGCAGTTGTGTTGTCCAACTTCGAATGCTACGAAATGTTCTTTGCGAACAAGTACGAAACGCAAGCTTCCATGAACCACCACCCCACACTCTTCTAAAAAAGGCTGATGTGGCGGTTTGCTTGTTCCACGCTTTGACTGTTCTCATCAGTTACCACGAGTATTTCGAAAAGAGCGAGGAGGATGATTTGGTCAAAGCGTTTCTCCAGGGCATCGTACAGTGGGACAGAACATCAAAATGGTGCATTCACGCGCTCTCTGTGTGTTGTTTTGAAATTCCACTCTCAGTCAGTAAATCTCTCGACAGCATCGTTCAGAAGATGTCGCAAATCATCACGAAGCCAGCTACAGCGATACACATTCTCGAGTTCCTGGTATCCATGGCTCGCCTCCCAGAGCTCTTCAAGAACTTTCGTGAAGACGAGTTCAAGCTCGTCTTTGGAGTGTGCTTCCGCTATCTGCAGCATATCCGCGATCAGCAAGGCCGTACGAGTGGAAACACAACTCAAAACGGCCATCGGACTTTGAGGCACAGTGGTACATCGAGGGACTTTGCAGCAACATCAGACGTTGGCGCGACAAAACCAAGAAGCGTTGAGGACGACCTTCCTCAATATCTGAATTCGCTTGCCTATCATGTGATTACATTCTGGTTCATGGCCTTGAAGATGGAAGATCGGCCAAAACAAATCCCGTGGATTACAAAGAACTTATACTTCACGGACAGCTCTGGCCGCCCGGTCATGGAAGAGCAAGGGCAGGTTATTGTAGATATCATGAACATGGTAGCGTACACGGACCGCGATGAGACGACACGCGAAGAATTCTCCGCCAAACCTGGGGATGGCGAGATTTGGAAAAAGACTTGGATTGTGGGCAACAGCATAGTGACAATAGAGACTGCTGCCAGGACCGGCACGTCTCTCGTAACAACGCGCCGACCAGTAAGTCATCCCTCTCGATTGAACACATCAGACTAGTCTACTGACTGTTCTTAGTGCGGAACGAGATACATCAAAGTCCGACCGCTGCTTACGTCACCCCCACGGCATCAAGTACCCATCACAATTGGTCTGGCTTCCGAAGCATTTTATTCTGACTCTTATGTTGGTATTCTACCAGAAGACATTTTCCAATCCTTCTACGCACCTCTTGACCTCAACAATCCGCCGATTCCTCTGCCCGACGATGAACCAACACGCCGTGCCATTGCTTCTTTTGACAGAATCGCAACGGTTGACAACTACAAAGTAGGAGTAATCTATATTGGCGAAGGGCAGACAAACGAGCGGGAAATTTTCATGAATGACATCGGATCACCAGCATATACATCATTCCTCAGTGACCTAGGCACCCTCTGTCGCCTGAAGGGTGCCAAGTTCAACACTGGAGGTCTCGATACACGCGAAGACATGGATGGCGAGTTCACGTACTGCTGGCGTGATCGCTGTATGGAACTCGTTTTCCACATCCCAACCATGATGCCTACGAACCGCGACGACGAAATGACTTATCCCAACAAGAAGCGCCATATCGGCAACGACTTTGTCAACATAATTTTCAATGACTCTGGCCTACCCTACAACTTTGATACCTTTCCCTCGCAGTTCAACTACGTACATATTGTCATTTCCCCAGAGTCGCGAGCCAGCTTTGTAGACCGCCGACTGGATGCAGATCCAGAGGGCAGAAACCGGTACTACAAAGTCCAAGCTATTTCAAAGCCTGGCTTCCCCGACATATCCCCTGCTGTTGAGACGAAAATCCTCTGTGGCAAATACCTTGCAGACTATTGCCGTCTGATTGCAATCAACGCAGTAGTCTTCTCTAGCGTATGGTTCATCCGTGAAGGAGGCGAATCAAGCTCGTCCTGGCGCAACAGATTGCGCGAGATCAAACGTCTCCGAGAACGATATGGTGCAAATAATGTTCCACCAAGCTATCCGCCACCAACATCGCCACCCGGAGGCCAAGGCCTCTCAAGCCCACCGTCCAGAGAACAGAATCTGGTTTCGCCGTTTCAGCGGCTTAGCATCGCCGCAACCCATGTTACTGATGGCACCAGCCGCAGCTCCGTTAGCAGCTCTTCACACGACGTCTGATTTCGTGCGCACCAAAAGTTGTTTGTTATTTGATGTTCAATCGACATTGAAAAAAGTATACCCATGGTTTTGATTAACACACACACACACACACACACACACACAAAAGTTTGTTTGATCTTTCTTTGCAAGCGGAGGATAGGGGATGGGGGGAACTTCCTGTTGATGCATTTGCATGGCGTTGGCGGAAGTTGCAACCGCTAGGTGAAAAAAAGTATTATTGCTATGCTAGGCTTGGAATCTACGAGAAAAAAAGAAGGCAATGTAGGAGGTGGGCGAAGCTTTTTCTTGTATCTTTATTCATATTGTACTTGGGGTGCATGTATCCCCTAGTGCACTTCTCGGCTCAATTACAAGTTACCATTATAGCATCCTACCTGTTTTTCCGTCGAATCTGAGGCCGATAGTCAGTGACCGGACTATCTCCCATCATATACCCATTGCTCAGCTTGTAGAACTGAGCAATCTGCTCGCGGTCGGTGTCTTGACACCTAGGCATTCATTGGGCAACTTTCTATATGGGCACGCAGCAAGCCATCATCGACGCCTCGCGCTGTGTCAGTACTGCCAATGATGACCTTGAGAAGTCATACCAGGAGATGCAGGCACTTTTCCAAAAGATTAAGGACAACCGCAACGCCTTCGAGTCAAAGATCAAGCCAATCGACGAGCTGTTTGCGGCCAAGCGAAAAGAACTCAACGACTACATCTTCCAACTAGGCACCGACGCTGCCGCCATCACGTTCGTGGATGTGGCTGCAGCCCTGGCCGTGGAGAAACGGAGGCTGCCATCATGGAGCGGTGAATCAAGGAGGTGGGCTTTGAGGAAGCAGTCAAGGGTTAGAGCGCTGTGGATGTTGCGTGTGATGTACGGAACGATATATTCTATGCGCAGGGATATTCATTGCCTGCAGACTTCAACTTGGAGTAGGAGCCCAGAAAATAGCTACAAGAGCAAGAGCGCAAAAAAATCTTTACAAGTTTGTTGATACAATCTCATATGTGATATAAGATTTCAGCCCTTCACGGTTGTGCGATTTAGTCGTGATTGCTGAGGTGGAAATCAACTTGTATTCATCAATGCCTATCATTTGTTGGAATTTCTCAAGCTTCAACTGTACGCCTACTACTGAAGTTTTTTTGAACAAAAAAACCCTCATTTACATAATAAACATAGTCAAACTTGTTAGCGTTCAACAGTTCAAGGTTTAGTTTTCGCGAGTTCAAATTCTAACCTTTGAGGGGAATCGTTTCCGTCAGATCCCCCGCTAGGCTAACTGTCCCTACATCACCCGAAATCTTGAAATGATGAAATCACGTCCAAAGTTTGAGCTCCTTTGACTCCTCACCAACAACATGAGCGCACCAAACTTGCCATTCCTATGGCCAATGCTGTTTAGGCCAGCAAAATCAGCACGTACACATGTCTCTCGAGCAAAGGGAAACGCGCCTCGTACGCGACAAGCACGGCGGTGTATGACCACAACACCATGTCTACTGGAACAATCCAGCACACAGCGATATGGGAAAGCATATGAGCATGCTGCTTCGGGCCAGCAGAAGCCTGCGACACGCAAGACTCAAGAGAAGGGATCAGTGACTGCTGGGAAGCCTTCCCAAGGCCAAGTTCCCGGCAAAGAAGATGTAGAAGGCAACGCGCCAGCAGCAACGTCCAACCTATCAACCCACAGCAAGCCCAGCACCTCTGAAGAAAAACCCATAATAACGCCTCCCCCCGAAACTCTCAAGGCCAACGACAACAAACCCCTCGACAGCGTCCTCCACATCCCCACCGCCGCCGAAGAAGAATCCCACAAACCACCCCACCTCAAAACACCCCCTTACGTCCACCACTTCGACACCTACGGCCTGGTGCGCAAACTCTCCCAATCTTCCTATACCCCCGAACAATCCATCACTATCATGAAAGCCGTACGCCAAACACTACTCTCTAACATGGCGCTCGCCCGCGAAGGCCTCGTCAGTAAATCCAACGTTGAAAACGAGACCTATCTCTTCCGCGCTGCGTGCAGCGAGCTAAAGACTGAAATCGGGAATGCACGTAAAGGAGAGATGGAGCGCATGCGCCAGGAGAGGGGGCAGTTGCAGCATGAGGTTGATATTCTAGGGCAGAGATTGAGTCAGGAGACAGGGGGGTTGAAGGATGAGCTCAAGGGGCTTTTTGATGATAGGAAGATGGCGGTGAGGATGGAGCAGAGGGCCATGGAGACCAAGGTATGTTTTGCTTCCATCCCATCTTTTGAGGGGAGGAATACGGAGCACATGACTGACGTGCGCAATCTCAGATCCAAGAACTCAACTACAAAATCACCGTCGCGCTCAACTCTGATGCGCGCTCGGAAGTCGAGGCGCTGCGCTGGGTGCTTACGAGGCGCGCAGCGATTACAGTGGGGGTTTCGGCGTTCATGTTGTTTGTGGCGCTACGGTATACAAGTTATGTGCAGCATCAGAAGCAAGAGGAGAATAAGAGGAAGCAGAGTGCGCCGCCGCCACATCGGCCGAATCCGATGGAGGAGTTGGGGAGTGATGCTGTAGGTCCCACGGCGAGGGATGCGTTGGGAGGAGAGCTGTTGGCTACGGAGGGGGTGTCGCTTGGATAAGTAGCAAGAATCAAGTAGTAATGACTTGATGCTTTTTGACTACGAGGATCTACTCCCATCTTCTCAGCCTCCAGAGGCCCAACAAAATGACAAGAAAACATATCTATAGCTTATGCTTCTTCTCTCCCACCGCCAACTTCCTAAACTCCTCTTGCGGCACCCCCTTCAAAAACCTCTTCAACCCACCCATGACCTCATCGACCACCTGTCTATCCAGCGCCTCCCGCATCGGCTTCTGAATCAACGCTTTGATCTGCACCAGGCTCTCCCTGTTCAAGTGATCTCCCAGCCTCTCCTCCACCTCTTCCAGCACTTTTCCGAGAAACCTATCACTATATCCTTCATCCTTTACATTCCCCGCATCAAACGTCTTATTCACAAATCCTGTGGCCAGTAACTCGTCGTTGGTGATGCGCTTACTCATTATCAAGGCTTCATTCGCTTTTGCGAGACCGAGGCGTTGCACGAAGCCGATGGAGGAATTGCCTTCTGTCACGAGACCGAGGGAGGAGAAGGGGGTGAGGAGGAAGGAGTGCGGGGCGCTGTAGATGAAGTCTGAGAAGCCGATCAGGGCTGCGGAGAGGCCGACTGCGGGGCCGTTGAGGGCGGTAATGAGGACTTTAGGGTGGGTGTAGAAGGCGTGGGTTATCTATTTTTTTGATTCGTTCAATTAGCTTTGCCATTACTTTTTCTACGCGAATTTTGAAAGAGAGAGGTTTGAGGAGAGGAAGAGACGTACGAAGAGGTTGTTCGCGACAAAACTTCGGAGATACATGTGTTGCTCGTCCAGTGATGAAGCGTCTGTTTGCGAGCCAAAGGCTACGTCTGCGCCTGCGCTGAAGAAGCGACCTTTGCCAGTTAGGACGGTGATATAGATGTCATCGCGTGCTGCAACCTCGTTCATAGCAGAGGCAAGCTGGTAATAGTCGTTTGCGCTGAGGGCGTTGAGCTTTTTGGGGGCATTGAGCGTGATGATTGCGGTTTTGCCGCGGTATTCGATCTGGATGGGACTTTCCGAGGCCATTGTGAATTTGGGCGTGTTTTACGAAGGGACGGAGACAGTGGGTTCTGGAGATAGAGGTGTATGGGTGGAAGATGTTTAAATGACGCGAGGAGGTTGTGTTGCTTCGCGTGGAGATTGCGAATGTAAGGTATGGATTGAGCCGAGGTTTAGAATGCGGAGAGGGATTGGATCATCCGGAGAGGAGATTATGTGTTATCCTGCTCGAAGAGAGTGTAGAATGCATGTCGGACTTCGGAATCTGTGCTTCCCATGCTGAATGTAGGGTATACATGGTGACATGCACAAAAAAACAACAATGGACGAAGCTTGTATCGATTCACTGCATGCATGTGAAGCTGTGTTGCTAGCTTACCCCAAGTTGCGGCTGGTGGGGACGACGTAGGGCTGAGGGTGAGATTAAGTCATTGCGATTCGTCCATTGTGAGAGATATGACCGAGCCATCGCCGAGCAGAGATCTGAGATTCTTTGGACGCCATCATCACTCCACCCCAAGCCGCCTGGTTAGTTTCGCCAGACGCCCCGCAAAGCCACGCTCCTTGTCGCAATACCGCAAATATGGGAGGTCCAAATCTCGAGGTCTTCAAGGTACGCCTTCCTTACTGAACGATCGTGTGTGCCGCATCCAAATTCGCCTTCGTTACCATGCCATTTACTCTGCACCGCCTCCAGCCGCCCCAATTGGACCCGGATCTATTGAACTGACCCGGCACCTTTAGTTCGGCATGTACATTCTCTTCCCAATCAGTGTAATGTACTACTTCGGTACCAATCTTGACGGCAAATTCACGGTTCCTGATTTTTGGCCAAAACCGGGCCAAACGCATAAAATCCCGTACGACCGTGATGAGATAGCAAAGGAACTGGAGAGGATAAAGGCGAGAAATCTGGAGAACAAGCGCAGGAGAGAGGAGAGGGAGAGGCTAAGGGAAATGGGCGGCCAGACTAGGGAGGAATGAGCGGAGTATACCAGAGGGCGATGCTTGCATATATGGAATGCGTTATAATATGCAGACCGTAGGACGAAAGAAAAACAGAGTCGCAGCAATATTACACAACCCGGGAGACTACGAAGTACCAGGGTACAAGAAATGGCATGGATGGTGTTAGGATATCATGGTGCGCTTGAGGAGATATGTACATTATTGTACAATACTGTATCTTACAGAAATCTAGGTGGAGATGATGAGCATATTAGACGCTCACCTTTCCTCTCAACTCTTCCCACATTTCCTCTGCTATGCTGCCCTTGGTCCAATTCATGTATACGCCCTGTACGCCCTGCACTTCCTGCAGCTCGTCCAAGAAATTACTCAGCTCTTTTGCTGCACCCTCGTCATCCAATGCGACCTTGGTATCCTCGTTAGGGTCGTATATGATCTCACTCTCCTCGATTTCGAGGCCGACATCTTTGGATAATTTTTCGGCGGTCTTATTCGTCATGGCTGGCTCGGTGTACAAGACCACTCGGCCTTCGGCATCCTCGTCTACATCCAATACGCCCGCTTCCAGCGCCGGCTCCAGTACCTCATCTACGGTCACACCATCTTTCTTCCGAAGAATTATCCGTCCTTTCTTTTCAAACATAAAGGCGACTGTGGAGACGGTGCCGCCCGCTTCCTTGACTAGTAAGCGGAGGTCAGCCAATGCACGCAGCTTGTTGTCGGTCTGGCATTCTATGATAGTGGCAATGGACGGCGGGAGGATGGCTTCAAGGACAAGGGATTCGAGTGCAGTGCCTGTGGCAGAGAGACCCTGCCCGCGTGCAATAGCAGCCTCAATGGAAGCCTTTGGTACAGCGGATTTCTTTGCAGTGGCTATGGCGAGAGCGAGGCGGGGGTTCATATCAGGGTTTGGTCCTGCAAGTTTGACAGCATTGGTAATGTCGCGGGTCATTAGCGACCGTTGCTTCGATTTACCAGCGTCATTCTTTGCCTTGTCGTGCTTGATTGTAGCCCATTTCCTGTACTCGAGTCAGAATGAATCCCAATTCTTGTGCATGCATTGAGGGCGACCGTACGAATGGCCTGATAGTAAGGCGGAACTTGTGCTCAAACACCGCACCTGGTCCACTATGCGCACCCTATACTGCGAAGCATGACGGCAGGGACAATTGGCCGTATTGCTCTTGAAAACTGCAGTTTTTACTGCGCGGCGCAATGGAGCTGACATGTAGGGCAACCGACTCTGGGGAATATGGAGCGCCCATCCGAAAAGTTGGAGATCATCGTCCCTGCCAAGACGGAGGTCCGCAACTTCTACATGCACTCGCCAGCGACTCCACAGTCGACATCTGGCATGACGAGCCTCATCAGGGCATGAGCAGCCAGTACCAACAACCTCGCCACGGGACACTGGAGGTCCACGCCGGATACACATAGCCATGGCAATGAACGGTCAGGCCGCCGACGAAAGCCCCACCAACCCTGAACTCGATATCAAGAAGCTCCACGCCCTCCCCACCGAGCAGCAGGACCTGTACCTGCTCACCTTCAGTTCTGACCTCGCGCGTCATGTGGCTGCTCTAGATGGTGATGGCGCTTCGGCGCATCAGATCTACATTAAGAAGGAGATATTCCAGATTGTCAACCTCGCATCCCCCGCACCCACGCGTGTTATCCGAAACAACCTGGGACGAGCGATTGCAGGCATATTCGAAAAGGGAGACAGGAAATTGCTATTTGAATCCATCAATGATTCAGTAAACATACTCAATACTGCTGGAAAGAGCGAAAAGGATATCAGGACCAAGCACGCGGCTGCGCATTGCTTGGGCTCTATCTTCGAGGCGGCAGGGGACAGCGCTATCCAGCTGTCGCCATTGGCAGTAAAGACGTTGTTGGGACTTGTCAAGTCTGCGCAGAACCACACTGGTCTCAGGGCAGCCCTGTTCAAGGCTGTGGGAAAGGTGTTCAAAGGGGTCAGCTCCCATGCGGATGAGTTGATCGCAAGAGATGCATGGAAACAGGCTCGCAATGCTGGTAGTGACAAGTCCTATATCGTCCAGACGGCTGCCTGCTACTGTCTGGAGCAGTTAATTCGGTATACACCCTTCTTCGACAACTCGACCGATTTCGATAAGCTACAAAACGTGGTCTGGAAGATCATAGACAGTCCTTCATCATCTGTGAGACATGCGGTGGCATCGTGCATCAGCGCTGCGCTAGTAAAAAACTATTCTGAGAACGCACCAGTCGATATTCCTATCCTCACGCGCTCAAAGACAGCGAAAAGGAAAAGCAGAAAGCCAGGGGATGACGATGGCGACGATGTCGTCATGGAGCGCCCTGAATCACCTGCACCCAAGAAGTCTGCAATGCAGCTTTCTTTCACTATTGAGAGTCTTCTCAAGTTACTCGCAACGCAATACTGTAAGCCACAGGCTGGCAACCGTGCTAGGGCTGGGATTGCCGTATGCTATATCAAGACTATCAAGGGCTTGGGCGAGCACATTATCGAGAGCAAATACTCGGACATTGCGCGAAGCCTGTTTGTTGATGTTCTCAGCAGCAATGTCATTGTACAGAACCGCTATCGCACTCTCAGCACACGAAAGTTTGTAGCAGTCATCTTGGAGGGTGTTGTTGGCCGTGGCCTGCTTGGAGAGTCTGGACAACTGCACGCCGTGAGATTTCTGGTCAATGAAATACTCAAGGATTACCCTCAGGTGTTGAAGGAGCGCCCAGAGCCTACTAAACAGACACTGATTGGTGCTCTCAGCACACTGTCTTCTCTGTTCAGCAGCCTTGGATCGGCTACCAATGCAGTCGCAGACACCTGTCGAGATGCATTGATCCAAGTCTTGCAGCATCCAAGTTATACAGTTCAAGTGACAGCATCTGCTTGTCTACGCGCTTTCGTTCTTGCTTGTCCTCTACAGCTACTTCCTGCTGTCACTATATGCATGAACAGCGTCAACAGAGAACTTGGTCTTCTTGCAGGGCCGCGACAGTCACCAAGGAAATGCGTTGGTCTGGCTAACGGTCTCTCCGCTGTGCTGAGCACGTCAACCTCGCAACCACTGCATGGTTCCGTGGATGTAAACTCAAGGGTACTCTCACAAGCCACATCGTTGCTGAAATCAGCCAGCAACTCCGATCTGAGAATCGGTTCTACTCAGATACAAGTCGCCTGGATCTTGATTGGAGGACTGATGACTTTGGGGCCAAACTTTGTCAAGATCCATCTTTCGCAATTACTCTTATTGTGGAAGAATGCGCTACCCAAGCCACTCAACAGAGATAACATGGTTCAAAGAAACTACCTAGAGCTCTGCTTCTTGACACATGTACGAGAATGTGCTCTGGGGTCAATCCTGACTTTCCTGGAGTTCAACAGCAGGATCCTGACACTGGATGTGACGAAGCGGCTGGCTGCAATGCTCCAGAACACGACTTTGTTTCTGAATACTTTACCAGCAAAGAAGACGACTGATGATATGTCACAAAGGCTTTCGCCAGCTTTGCAACTTTATGATTTCGATCTGATGGTCCGAAGGAGAGTTCTTCAATGTTACACCAAGCTCGTCGAGCTCAGCCCAGCAAGCAGTACAGAAGTGCTACTACAGACTAACTTATTGCCCTTTGCGATCGCTTCTTTTGCAGAGCCCGACAATTACACTACGAGTTCATTCAGTACTGCCATTGCCAGTGCTGCGGGAACTTTTGAGAGCATTTGGGAGGTGGCTGACAACCACGGTTTTGGTGTTACTGGATTAGTCCGCGGATATGACATTACACCTCTCCCAGGCGAACAAGAAGCTCATACCCATCATCACTGGCTCACCCGGCATGGCCCTGAGGCTATTATCGATCGCACCCTTCTCTCTCCGATCTGTGGAGCTCGCGAACATGACTCGATCTCGCTGTATATCAGGAAGTCGGACGAGTCTTATGAGTTTCCAGATCCGCCAGCTACTGAGGTGGTCAATGCAGCACTTCAATTATTTGCTATTTGTCTTCCCTTGCAGACTGCTAGGATACAAGAAAGCATCTTGGAGCAAATGACGTCTTTCCTATCTGCAAGCAGTCTGCAGCGGGATATCAACAGAAAAACTGCCATGATGGTCAACATCGCCTATGCAGTTTTGTCTGCACTGAAGGTCGCAGTGAAAGAGACGCGCTCAGCTCCCGGAAGTCTCAAAGGAGCAGCGGTTGAGAAGGTCATGCAGGATCTGTTGCACGTGAGTATCCCAGCGAACTGTCTATTTCTTTGCTGATCCAAATAGTTGTTCATAATCTTGCCCGACCCCTTCATCCGAAACCTTGCAGGAGAGGCGCTAGGTCGCTTGTGCAATAGCTCTGGAAATGCGCTCACTACTACTGAAGTCAATTATTTGGTGGACCAAATCGTTGCAAACCGCGAACCAAATGCCCGTTCTGGATACGCAGTTGCCCTTGGCTGCATACATTCCCAGCTTGGTGGGATGGCTGCTGGTTTTCATCTCAAGAATATACTGGGGATACTTACATCTCTTGGTGATGATCCACATCCAGTCGTACACTTCTGGGCAATGGATAGCCTGTCACGAGTCGCTGACTCTGCCGGCCTATCTTTTTCAAGCTATGTCACAAGCACACTCGGCATGTTGGCGCATTGGTACGCCGCAGATACACACAACGAAGAATCTGCATCTCTTCCATACTCCAACATTGAGATTGATATACCAACTCCTGCTGTTATTGCACGATGTGTTGACAGTACTATCAATGTACTGGGGCCAGATCTGCAGGATGTCGCAAAAGCAAGAGATTTGATTATGACCCTTGTAGGGCTATTCCAGGGTGATGCTGATGAACTCATTGTCATCGAGAGTCTGCGTTGCCAGGAACACATCTCGCTCTATGCGCCAGGTTACATGGACTTCTCGGGCTATGTCAAGAGTCTACAGCGATCTGTAGAAAGTAGCTCGACACAGATCCGTGATATGGCTATTGACGGCTTGCACAACATCATGAGGCGTAATACAGAAGAGGTTATGCGTGCGGCTGAGCCGGGTCTGGAAGATCAGCTGTGGCATGTACTGGACCGCGATCCAGAACATGAAGTTGTGCGAAATATTATTCGCAATTGGCTACATCAGACCGGTCTATCAGACACAGCAACGTGGGTGCAGCGATGCCACTCCGTCTTGACCAAGACGAAAAAGGTGGAAACCCAGGACAAGATTGAGCAGAAACCGAAAGCAGGCGCAGCAGAGATCCAGGATGAGGAAGTTGCAGGCTTTGCATCTGCATCAAATGCGCCAGGCGCTGAGTCAGGAGATGGCATACAAGTGAGCCAAGAGCTGCTCAAGTGGCAAGTCCGGACATTTGGTATGGACTGTTTGAGCGAGCTTGTTGCGATGGTCAGCAAGGAAGCTGCTTTCCGAGAAGAAGCGCCTTGTGTGATGGCATTACAGCAAAGAGTAGCTGATGTGGTACGCATTGCCTTCTCTGCATCTACTGCTGGCGTTGTTCAGCTGCGGATACGTGGTCTCAAAATTATTGATCAAGTTCTCAAGGTATGCATACGTATCGGGCGTGTAGAACGTAAGCTAACCCAACCTATAGTTATTTGGAAAAACGCCCGATCCGGATTTTGCTGAAGTTACCCTACTTGAACAGTACCAGGCCCAGATCGGTTCAGCACTCACGCCAGCCTTTGCAGCAGACTCATCACCAGAACTTGCAGCTGAAGCTGTGAACGTATGTGCTACATTTATCGCGACTGGTATCGTAACAGATGTGGATCGAATGGGCCGTATTCTCAAGTTGCTCGTATCAGCACTTGAAAACTTTTCTAGTGTGTTTTCCGCACATCCCTCATCTCTATACTTGACTAACATGGCTTAGGCGAATCTGAGACTGCCTCAATAGGCGATCTCAAAGGGCTGAGCTCAAATGCTCAGGTGATGGTCAAGATGGCAGTTTTCTCGGCCTGGGCCGAGTTGCAAATTGCTAGTGCCGAGCAGACTTACCTGAGAGACGTGCTGAAGCCGCACATTGCTAAGTTGACACCTCTTTGGCTGGCGTCGCTGCGGGAATATGCTCGCCTCAGGTTCGAGCCCGACATTACTTCCTCTATGGGTTCTGCGTCGCTCTCTGGTAGCCTTGATACCATCTATGCGGCGCTCAACCGTGAGACTTTGTTGAAGTTTTATCAAGATACCTGGCTCAACCTTGTCGATGCAATTGCCAGTCTCATCGACGAGGATAGCGAGTTCGTGTTTGACGCACTTGATGGAAAGACCGAACTGTCCGAGTCGGATCCGAACCCAAGAGCTGATCACATCAACTATCGCGACGAGCCCGTTGCCTTCTTCTTTGTGCTATTCGGTCTTGCATTCGAGGCTCTTGCAGGCCGTCCAGGCGATCTCCAGGCATCCAAGGAGCAGATTTTAGAAATACTTCAAGCTTTAAAGAAGATCTTACGACCTTCAGTATCTGGACACGCCATATACCAAGAGGTTGTGTTCTCAGAGACGATGGACATGCTTGATCGGTTGGTGCTCACTGAAGGCTTGACCATACAGACAGTTATCGTTCAAATTACACGAAACCTTTGCATCGGCCATCCATCTGCAAGGAGAGATCAAGGGTAAGGGATACAAGTCGGGCTGCTCTAAACTCACTGACTCGGCATAGAACTACTTCCGCAGACGAACATCTCTCGGAAGACATTGACCAGCTGTTTGAGTTGACCAAGATCATGGTCCTAGTACTATCAGGTCTAATACCCGGGTTGGAAGACAGCAAATCTAAAGGTAGGACTTCTCTGGTTGTTTGAGAAGAATATTCGCTAATTCGCATGCTTAGCTCGCCACGAAATGAACGAAGAAGCTGTTGCTCTGCTCACAACGGCATTGTCTGCTCTCGTGGATGCTGCACAAGTCTTCCCATCCATTATCAAAGCCGATCTTCATGCTTGCATTCTTCATATCTTTGCATCCATAGTCGGCACTGGAGAATGCCAAGCAACAGTCATCCCGCAAGCGTTGCCAATCTTCAAACGCTTCATCACCAGTCTTGCGCCGGATGCTGAAGCCACAGATGACACTGGCAAGCAACTGCGTGCGACATTGGCGCGATTCCTTGCCATTCTCAGACACGCCCAAAAGCGGGAATTTGACGCTGCTCTTGCGTGTGAGAAGAACACTATCCTCACGGCTACCATCTTGTTAAGCTCTGCATCATCTGCACTCACACCCAACGATCCGCTCATCCAGCGATTTGTTGATGATCTTTTTGATTGTCTTGGTACGGTCACCACCAGCAAGGTAGCTGCTGGGTGTTGTCGTTCCCTTCTTCTCTTGCCGAAAAAGGGCGCTTTTGAGACAAGTCTTGCGAAGCTTCTTCTTCCGCCTACCCTCTCCTTCCTCGCAATACCTTCAGAGGTAGAAGGCCTTGAGGAGTCCCGCACAACCCTTGCCCAGACCCTTGTCAGCTTCATCTCAACTCTTCCAGAGCCAGCACAACGGCAAGTCGCGTGCAAAATTATCATTCCTGCCTTGCTATCACGGGCAGAGAAAGAACCAAAGGCAACCCAAGAAACAGCGACAAGGCTACTTGAGATTGCTGGTGCCGATCAACAGGCTTTCAGGACTGTGGTGACTGGACTCACGCCTGAGCAAAGAAGCTTCATGGAAGGGGTGTTGAAGAGCGGGCAAGGGCCTAGGAGACAAGAAGTCAATAGGGAGGATGACGGAATGCCCAAGATTGCGCTCAAGATGGATTTTGGGTCGTAGAGTAAAGGTATGGGCTTAATGGAGATACGAATCTTGTGTTTGCATAATGACATGCTCAGTGGTTATGTGTGGTATTATACTAGATTAGACATGTGTGACTTGAACGAATGATAATTTCTGAGAGTTGACTGCTTTCCTAATTTTATGCCAAATGACAATTGAAACTTATGTCAGGTTCACCGTGCAAGAATTGAACTTTAGTCCGTTATCAGGGGGCCAATATGCCCGCTGCAACCCAATCTTCCTTTTTACAATAGTCCTTCAAGCTTATTGTTGGGACGTGTACACCCATCTAAAAATCAATCAATCGTTAGCCGACTCCTCAGAATCACTCAGCAAAGCAACTTCAATCTTACCTTTTCCAAATCCCACGTCATCAACGTATCTTTTTGATTTGCATTGTACCCCCAAGTACTCGAAAACTCAAACATTTCTCCAATTTCCTTACCCGCACCTCCTGGTATTTCCTTGTCAAAGTCTTCGACGCTAACTTGCTTGTAACTGGTCTTAACCCCAGTCACCTCACCCCAAGTCTTGATCCAATCCGGCCATGTGCACCATTCGCTCGCAGCCATAACCGTCGACCCTGGAGGCAATTGCAACATAGCTTGTACAAAAGGTCCAACATCTGTCCGGGGATTGAGATGCGGTATCAGCGTATCCGGAGACGTCGGAGACTGCATCTGAACCGAGCCATCAGGCAACTACACGGTACGTATATCCCATCAGCAATTTCTTCACGCACCAACCACTTTCCAACTTTGCTCCAACCCACGTGACACACACACACATACACATACCTTTGCAAACCACCGGTTAGGCATATACCTCCAACTCGTATAGAAATATCCCGTATGCAAGTAACTCGTCTTCCGCGCCAGCTCTGGATACTTCTCGGTCACATAGCCTGGAAACACCTGGGCCTTTGCATCAAAATGCCACAACTCGTGATACTTGCCGCCACTGCTCTCCCGCGCATTACACAGCGTACTCGCCACAAAGCCGACGTCATCCAGCCCGCCTACCACCTTGGCTACCGCATCTGCGATATTCCGTCCTTGCTCGGCTTCCAGCTCGAACGCCAGCTGCCCGATGGACACGCCGCGCTCGGCGGCGCGGGCGCCGTTGGAAGGCGTGAAGAACGGGGTCCAGAAGTCGGTGGCGCTGAAGATGAGGTTTGCGCCCGAGAAGGCGGCGCTGAGGGTGGACGGGTCGTGTAGGTCGGCTTGGACCATTTCGATGCCGAGGGAGGAGAGGTGCTGGGACGTGGCCGACGTGGGGTTGCGGGTTAGGCCGCGGATGCGCCAGGTTGGGGATGAGGAGGAGAGGAAGGTGTGGGCGACGGAGGAACCTTGGTTGCCGGTTATGCCGATTATGACGATGAGTTTGGACATTTTTGGGGGATTGGTATATGGGGGTTTTTTTTTTCTTTCTCTTTCTTTTCTGTTGTTGTGTTTTTGGGTGATGGGGGGGTTGGGAGGATGGGGGACGGAATTGAAGTCAAGATAAATGAATGCGGGTGGAGACGACGGGAAGGATTGAGTGCCCCACGTGGGAGTTTCAAGGGTGGAAATGGGTTTTGTTTTTGTTGTGTCGTTGGTGAGTTGAAATGAATGTTTTGGAGGGGGTTGATTGGTTCAATTGCTTAATTATTTTTCGTCGACGCTGTTCGTTAGGTTGATGTACTTTTATGTTGTATTCATTTTGAGGTGGCGTGATTCACAAGATAGTAGGTGGCCTAAAAAACACACTTTTTAGCATAAAGAACAACCATGATTGCCTTCAGACTCGTAGAAGGAATGAAAAAAAACACTCTATACTGTATTGCAAGAGTAGCCCCCATAAACAATGTTCTCGTAACCCTTCACGACTTTAGCGAGCCATCATCTCCCCTCTCTTCGACGTTTCAACTCCCTCCATTGACCCCATTGACCCTCTTCTCCCCAGGCACATCCACCAAACTCCCCAACCCTTCTGTTTCCTTCATCTTCTTCTGCCACGGCAACAACTCCACCGCTGCCCTCACAGCCCCCACCTCCCCCCGCTCCCTCTTCCCAACCCACGCATCAATCTCCCTCTGCTCCACAAAATTCCCATGCAACCCCAACCTCAACTTCACCGGCAAATGCACCACAGCCAACGGCCCCTGTTCCAAATTTCTCGCGTCGAAAATCATAATATCGTTTCTCAAGACATCCAGATGATTCAGCAGCGCAATAATATATCCGTCTCCTTCTTCGAACTCTTCCTCGCCGTTTTCCCCTTCGAATGAAGACGAGGACCGCCTCGGCACAAACACCGGTTCCTGAAACGTACACGTCGGACCGGCCCAAAAAACATCTTTGCGTCCCGTATCCCACTCGTAATGCCCCAGCACATTAAACAACCCCCCAGCCGGTGGCCCACACTTTGCGCCATCATACGGTCTGGCGGGATCGATGTTACACTGCCAAAAGTGATTGTACTGTTTCGTCAACACTCTATCGTCGATACGTGAGAACTCGCCGTTTATGCCAAACACCTTGTGCGGCTGGACGCGTGTGTGGGTTGGCGTCTTGGGATCGAAGATCCAGCGGTAGGTGTCTGAGACAAGTTTGTTGCGTTGTTGGAGGGGGGAGCGGGGTCGGGGGGGAAGAAGAAAAAGACGTTGTCGGAGGCTATGGTTAGGTCGACTACTATCTTGTCATCGGGGGTTTCGTAGGAACCGGCTATGTGGCCGTGGAAGCCTAAAGGAGGGGGTTTTTAGGAGAGCTATGAGGGATGGGATAGGGGGGAAGATATAAGTACCGTTGTCGGCGCGGAGCCAGATGATGTCTTCTGGTTTGCCGTTTCGGCGTGGGACGATGCCGTACCATTGGTCTTCGTTGGGGTCCCAGGCAAAGTGGTTTCCGCCTTTTTTGAGTCGGTCTTCGTTGACTTTGATGGGGGTTAAGGGGAGGACTAGGTAGTTCTTTGTGATAGCACAGTCGTGGATCATGCCGGAAAAGGGTGCTTTGTACCAGCACTCTTCTGTCTTTTTCCCGTCTTTGTCGATGGTATATACGACAATGTCACAGCTAGCGTCATAGCCGTTGCCCCCGGCCTGGTAGCCGTAGCAGACCATTTCTCCAGTGTCTGGGTCGAACTTGGGGTGTGCGGTAAATGTAGGAGATTGCACTTGACCGTCAAAGTCGTAGCGGCCGATTGTTTCGAGAGTGACTGGATCCATGGCGAATGGAGGGCCATCTTCCTTCATTGCAAGAAGAACACCCCGCCAGAATATAACGTTGGTATTTGACGCAGTTCTTATGATGCCTTTGACCATTTCGTTGTCGGTGTAAGGGTTCCTGTACCGACCTAGCAATGCGCGCCGGGCTTTTGTCTCTGCTTTGTAACGATCCGTATGTACATATCGCTGTCTAAAGTCAACATGACCATTTTCGAACCGAAAGGCAGATACAGAGCCATCACCGTTGAAGTGTATATCTTCTTCAAAAAGAGGCGGAAAGCGGTGGTCTGGCTGTATGCGAAAGAAAGTGCCATTGATGTCTTTTGGAATCTAATGGTTGCTGAGAACAAGCCTGGTTATGCACTTGCATTGCTCGACTTACGGTGCCGGTAGTTTCTAGCTCAAAAATGTCTGCCTCGAGTCGGGATGGCTTGTTAAAGCCCTTGAAAAATGCAGTATCTGGAAATTTGACTTGATCGCCATGCTTTTTGCCTTTATGATAAGCTGCAGGTACGGGACTTGCTAGGGAGAAAATGTGCGCCATGATGTATTATTGCTTTGTTCCATTCAGATATTCGCCAGCACCCTCCCATCTAATACTCGAATCTGAAATCACCATTTTGGTTGCAGTCCACTCTATTGGAACCAAGTTCCTTGTGTCGCTTCGGTACATTGGAAGGAGCGAGTGTGGGGTATCTTACTTGCGGGGTAGCTTGCTGTGTACGGGTCTCGGCTAGAATGGTGAAGGTCGGAGTGATAAGGCCGGATGATGTCAGCAGCGGCATGATGTATGCGAGGAGTACATTTGCTTTGTAGGGGTACTAGCGCCTTCATTGTCTTGCTTGCAGTGATGCAGTAAGTATATCAATAGTAGCTGAACACATGATATTGAATATCCAGCTTCCAATCGTACCAAGCTAAGTCGGCTAAAGATGATCGGTCGTATGGGTCCCGATGTAATGGTCCATTCGCCAAGTAAAGCATCACTTCTTGCTTGGGGATAGCGTGACACTCGGTACTTGACTTCTATGACATCTACGTAGGTGTAGGGCGAAACAGAATTAATGATTTACCTTGAAGAATGTGTAACACATCCTTCATCTGGTGCAGGGGAAGTAACAGAACCATGTGCCCCACATATATCGTATGCAAGGAAATCTTACTACTACACTTCTCGCTAATGTGTACAGTTTCTCGGTTACAATGTTAAACAGTTACAGCGTTCGGAGCCGCACAAATATTTACTAAGAGGTTCAAGATGATGTGTCCACATACTCAGTTAGTTTGGTGTCCATGAATATTTACTGGGGCTTCGCCAGGGAGACAAAGGAGTAGGATAAGTGCTTAATTTATCTTGTAGTTGAAAAGACACCATCATGGCAAGGATTGACACCGCCTAATATCTCCAACTCCAATTTACGGTGCACCGTTCACTTCCGACCGAGGTTTACTAAGTACTAATGGTGGGGTACTTGTCGACGGGTCCTGCCCGTAATGCGGCGCTCTCAAATCATCGTCGGCAACCTGCTCGCCGGTAACGGGATGAGTGTAGTGAAACGGCACAACGCGGGTATCCGGCCAGAGCATTGGGTTTTCACACAAAACGTCTGGCCCAATGGGATCCTCTGGAAACGTTGTCTTGGGGAATGGCACGTAATTTGGCTTGGTGTACGCCCAACCTTTGTCAAAGGCCGCATGCCAAAAGGCAAAATACTTGAGTCTGAAGATCTTCCACACACCATCCTCTTTAATGTACTCGTTCTCGTACACACCACCTTCCCACCATTGCACCAGGCCGCGGGGGTGTGTGTCCTTGATACTCTCGTGTGTGCCGGCGGACATCATGCTGCGGAAGCGGCCCTTTGCATGTGTGCCTTGTGCATTGACGTCGACTATGCCCTGCATTTGAGGGTGATCAAGTAAGAAGCCGTGGATAGGACCATTTCGGCCAGCTACAAACATTTTGGAAAAGCGGCCAACATAGAGGCGCCTGACGCCTGCTTTGCCATCATAGCGACCTCCTAGGAATTCAACACAGGTGTCCGGGTGGTTGGAGAAGAGATCGGTAACCTGCTATCATGAGTAACTGAACCTTGCACGTGTTACATAGCTAGCTACCTCTTTATAGAGACATTTGTCGAGATAGTAGCCGTATGTATACTGGAGTTTGCGAATGTCCTCTTGGTCTAAAGTGGGGTCAGCGTCTTGAAGCGCGAGTGATGGTTGACTAAGCCGCACCACTCAGCCGCGTCACCTGCGACTGCAGTTTCTCCACCATAGCCTTCAGCTGCTCGATTTCGCTAGCCATTATCGCGGTCGTCCTTTGCAGAAACCAGGGTATGAATGCGATTCAATGTCGCGGCCATTCTTCACTTTTTAATGTCCATGGTACATGATTTAGTACCTTAACGCAGAGCTGCCCGAATCCGTCACCACCACGACGATGAAGAAGATGCCGTGCTATCCCCACGAATAAGGTCAGTCAAAGAGTCGGCGTTATCAATGCGAAGTGCACGAAAATAGCGGTTATACACTGCCGATGGGACTATTCCCCAATGAGTTTGTGGAGCATAACGGCAAAGCAAGATTGAGGTGGGGTCATGCACCACAAGGAAGCCCAGCTTCAGCTTGTTAGCGTTTTCTCGACCTAGAAACCACCACCGTCGCTGGTATTTATTGGGACGTGCTGCAGCAATATCAGAGATTAGCCTATCAATATCCAGTCAATCTCCTGCGGGTTCATTCACATTAACAAGAAATTGTTGAGTACTATTTGCCTTTGTAAGGTGGAGTGACCGAAGTACAGCCGTAACAGAAGAGCTGCGTCACTACATTTGATAATCCAACATGGGCCTTCCAGAGAAGATTGAGACGCGTCTATTCATCAACGGAGAAGTCAGTCAATCACGGGGAACTAGTGGAAATGAACGCTTGAGCTGACCCTTTCACAGTTTGTTGAATCATCAAATGGCAAAACATTTGACATTGTCAATCCATCGACGTTGAAGCTTGTAGCCAAAGGTTAGTTTTGTCGACCCCCAGGGGAAGCATGTTGGCTCAAAAAGACGACAGTACACGAGGCATCCGAGCAGGACACGGACAATGCTGTAGCCGCAGCAAAAGCTGCTTTCCCCGCATGGTCTGCACTTTCTCCCGACCAAAGGGGCCAGTATTTCAAGAAGCTAGCAGCACTGATCCGAGAGCACAACGATGAGCTAGCAGCGTTGGAGGCTAGTTCGATGGGTCGCCCGGTAGGAGAGTTTTTTGATGCATACGCGGCAGCGGCAAAGTGGGATCGCTATGCGGAGAGCGGGTACAATGTGCAGGGTGAGAATGTCAATACATGACCGAGTAGAGATGCTGACGTGAAGCAGGAACTACTAGTGTTCAGACTCCGGGGTTCATCAACATGACACTACGTCAGCCCTATGGAGTGGTTGCTGCTATTATTCCATGGAACGTGCCCTTGTTTTTCCTATCGAGCAAGCTTGCTCCAGCTTTGATTGTAGGAAACACAGTTGTCCTAAAGAGCTCCGAGAAGGCACCCTTGACTGTGAGTGGCAAATGGAATATTCATGTCAAAAGCTAATGGTGCATGACAGTCTGCCAAGATTGCTGTGCTGGCAAAGCAGGCTGGATTCCCGCCAGGCGTTATCAACATCATCACTGGGTTCGGAAATGTGAGCGGTTCCGTGTTGAGCCACCACATGGACGTCCGAGCTCTGTCATTTACTGGGTCGAGCCGGACTGGAAGGATTATCCAAGAAGCGGCGGCAAAGTCTAATCTGAAGCAAGTCTTGTTGGAGCTCGGAGGCAAGTCGCCGGCAGTCATTTTCGAAGACGCAGACATGGAGAAGGCGGTCAAGGAAACGGCGCACAGCATTCGGTGGAACAGTGGGCAGGTGTGCATGGCCAACTCACGCATCTACGTGCAGAATTCGGTAGCAGACCGGTACATTGAGCTGTTCAAGCGAAACTTTGAGACGGAGACCAAAATGGGAGATCCGCTAGCAGCGCCGCAGGAGGGAGTCAATCAAGGCCCGCAGGCAGATGGCGCGCAACACAAGACAGTGCTGCAATACCTCGAAAGCGGCAAGCAGTCTGGCGGAGAGCTGATTACGGGAGGGGGTGCGCCGTCTGACCGCGAAGGGTACTACATTCAGCCGACCATTTTCAAGAACACGCCCGAGGAGGCGAAGATTATGAAGGAGGAGATTTTTGGGCCGGTGGTCAGCATCAACGTCTTCAACACTGAGGAGGAGGTTCTGGCCAAAGCCAACGCGACCGAGTTTGTTCCCCCCTCGCCTTGTTGGCAACGCGAAGCAGGTGAAAGTGAAGGCGACTAACAACGACGCAGGTTCGGGCTGTACGCGTCGGTATACACCAAGGACATTGACCGGGCCATGCGCTTCGCAAAGGGGCTGGAGGCTGGGACGGTGGGGGTCAATTGCACGTCGCCAGGTGAGTCTTTTTGTCTTTGCTGTTGATGTTGATAGGGCGTGCAGGGAGAGACGGGGATGCACCAGGCGGCTGGCTGACGCGAGAAACAGTGACTGGCACGGACATGCCGTTTGGTGGATACAAGTCGTCGGGGTCGGGGCGGGAGGGGGAGCCGCTGTACTCGCTCAACAACTTCCTGGAGACGAAGAGCGTGCTGATCAAGATGGGGTAGTTGGGGTAGTGTGCAAGCCGGCAGTTGGCAGGAGATGCCGAGCAGAGCAGTGGAAGGGGGTGGCGGGTGTGGCATGCGCCAATCGGCAGGTGTTGCAGGGTGGCTTTGCGGGCGAGAACGAACCAGGCGCCGAGCGCGCAAACCCATGCACGCGTGAATTGGAACCCTTCTCTTCTGCACCCGTCTCCTCGCCTGAAGAGGGCACCATGCTCCGCTGCCCTTCCCCGGACTGCTGCCGGTGTGCCGCATGAGCCCATTGCGTCGCTGCTAGAGCCATTAATAGTGTTGTCTGGTCCCGCCGGGCTGCCCCCCGCTGTCCTCGGAACGATATGGCCGAGTTGGCCGCCCCGCAACCTCCAGCGCCTGCGCCTGCGCCCGCGTCGAGCAGAGCACCCAACGGCCACCGCGTGCACAGCAGCTGTGACCGCTGTCGCAGCAGAAAGACAAAGGTACGCTCCCCCCAGAGCGACATGCCCGCCAGAGACGCGCTCCGTCCGCCGCCAAGCAGCTAACCGCCGCCCGTCCTCCGCAGTGCATCGATCCCAGTACGTCTTCTCCCTCCGCCCATCCACTCCTTCACCCTCGCAGCCGCCCACTCGTCCCCTCTGCTGACACGTCCCCATAGTCCCCGGCCCATGTCGCTACTGCGCCCGCACAGGCGCCGTCTGTACCATTGCCACGCCCAGGCGCAAGAGGCCCTACTACCATGTCACCGAAGAGGAGTACCAGTGTGCCATGCGCATCCTCGAGCACTTCTTTCCTGGCCGTGAGCTGAATCTCCAGTCTCTCCGCTCCATTGCCAAGGCCATCAAGGAGGGCTCCTTCCACGCCGACCCTGTCCAGCACACGGACGGCCTCTTCGCCAGCAACCAGGCCTCGCCCGAAGACGGCGACAGTGTTGACAATGGCGAGGAGCAGGACGTCAACGAGCTGCACGAATCTCTCGGCTGCATGATGAAGGACTCGCGCGGCAAGTTTCGCTACGTAGGAGCCCACAGCGAGATTCCCTTCAATGCCGTCGTCGCTACCTTGGGCATGCAGCGGAGGGACCCATCCATCATTCCCACTCCAAAAGTGGGGGCGTATCCACCCACCCTTCCTGTAGCATCGCCCTCGACTGACTCGGGGGCCGAAGAGAGCTACTATCTCCCCAGTCGCCATCTGTGTGATGTATACATTTCTCGCTTCCTCGAGGATGTCCACTGCACGTACTGGCTCTACCCCGTCGAAGCCCTGCTGCGCCGGGTTGACAGCACCTATTCCGAGTCAGCAGAGTCCTCGTCCAGCTCATGGATGTGCTCCCTGTACACAATCTTCGCCATAGGAGCAGCAAACTATGTCGGCAACAACGGCAACTCCCCGCCGCCAGACTGGCCCGCTGCCATGGACGTAAAAACATCAGAGGATTACCTTGCCCTTGCCAAGCAGCTCATTCCAGTCGCCTACGATGAAGCCGACCTGGACAGCATCCGTGCAATGGCCATTATGGTAAATCCAGCCCAATAACAATCACCCGCCCTGTCAAAACATGGCTGACCACTGTCTAGTCCATTGCAATGGAGAACCTTTGCTCCAGAGTCAGCGCCTACCTGTACATGGGCGCCAGTGTGCAAATGGCCTTTTCCCTGGGTCTGCACCGCGACCAGGTCGACGAGTCGGCCACTGCGCTTGACCGGGAGCAGCACCGCCGCATTTGGTGGACTTTGTTTCAGCTCGACCAAGAAATATCATCAAGGGGTGGCTGCCCGACCATTGTAGATGAGCGCTTTACCAAGGTTACGACACCTATGCCATCTGAGCGGGTACGGCCATCATGGTTGATTCTAAATGTCCACATACTGACGTGTCGTAGGCCGTATATCCAGGGCTGCATACACCTCTTTCGTGGATGGCTACATCAGTTTCTCTCTGTCGCTTGAGGCGCGAAGTCATCCAGGCCGTCTATATGGAGCGTTCGTCAAACTCGATATCCTTTTCGACAATCTCAAACTCGCTCTTGCTGCTACAGAAATGGTACCGCCAAATGCCAGCACATCTGAAAACTGACGTGCCCGCACCTCCGACGTACAGGCGTGCAATCGCAGTCCTGCATCTACAGTATTGGAGTACCACTATCCTCTTGACGCGACCTTTTTTGCTCTACCTGGTCATCAAATATGGCTCACTGGTGTCAAGCAAAAAGATCTGGTTTGAGCGCATGGGCAAAACGTGCATTGACGCAGCACAGAAGAGTATTGCCATCTTGAAGCAAATGGCCACGGACGGTGTACTTTCTAGCCTAACGGCTTTTGATAGTACCTGCATCTTGCGCTTAGTCATCGTATTCATTCTGGCCTTTGTTCACACCAGACTACCGCAATACAGCGAACACATTTGGCATTTGGTGGAGCTAGTCAATGGTATGGAGCAGATTGGTTTTACAAAGATGGTATCTGAAGAAACACCCATACGCCTAGCGGATCTGGGAATATCAAAACATGTTCCAACCATCAATGAGAATAATCATACGCCAGTGGCTTTGGACGATGCAACAATGGCCCAATTGTGGGGCTGGGACTCGTGAGTGTTGCCTCTGAGAAGTCTTGCTTATGACTAACACCTGCATAGTAGTTTCATGACTCCGCTGCAGATGCAGCAAAGCTTGGATCTCAACTTTGACGACTCAGGTGCTTTCGACATCAACACCGAAATTCTTGCATTCACCAACCTCAATGAAAACATCGTCATCGACCCATCCCGTGCTTATCCGCAATACAGCATGCAATGATGCGTCCCGTTACAACTATAAATCGAACGTCTAGAAGCTGGGGTTTAATTTTGGTCCCCCCCCCCCCCCCGCCATTTTGTCAGTGTCAATTGGCTGCTGGTGCGTAGACGAAGACGGAGAAGAGTAGACTCCACACCAATTCACGCCATATGGACAGGAACCCCAAGTTTCACACTCAATTTGGCGTTCATTGCCAACCCAAGAAGTAGGAGCATGACGATTGGAGAATTGAGAAACGAAGACCGGCATTAAAGGAACCCCGATTTTAAAAATACGTCGAATGGGCATAGAGAATTTTTACCAAAAAGGTTTTATCGCCAATGGTGTTCTCTGGTACTGGAAACCCCACAAGCGATATGTTTTGCGCAGGCAAGATGTACCGTTGTTGCACAAAGAGTAAGGATTCAGTCATAGGATTTTACGAAACGTTGTTGCAGATTCAGCTGAGTCTTTTTCTTTTCTTTCAGTATTACAAAAAAAATATCTTGACATACATATACATACCTACTACACCAAAATAAACTCATTTCATTTCTTCTCTCTGTTACGTTGCGAATCCTTTTTCAAGTCCCCAATTTAGTCCATGTTCAACCTGATGATATCGCCTCTTCTAACCAAGCCATGGGAAACAACACATGCTGGTACGTGATCTAAGCGGTAGACTTTTGGGAAAAAACAAAAGAGTCCTGCCGGTATGGATCACTAGATAAATTATGTCGTGTATGGGACCTTTTTTTTCGATTTTTCTTACTGACTGTTCTTACTGTTGGACAATACAGAGAAGAGACGAGATTTTAAGTATATCAAGACGACAAGAGAGACCGAGGCATGTTAACCTCACTTGGCTAAAAAGAGATATGGAGGACGATTATTTTTTCAGGGAGTGTTTTTTGGGGGGGGATACACACTGTGTTTTGTTCTACCAAACAAAGTTTGTTTTTTTTAAAGCTAAGGCACAAGTCTCTTGACGAATTCAAAGGGCGCAGGAGGACCCAGTTTCTTCAAGGTGAAGAAGGCCGTCAGGCCCACAAGACCTATCCTGACTACCAGGGCCGTCGTCACAGCCTGTCTGATAATGGGATAGTATCCCTCTAGCATAGAATTGACAGCAGCGCCTCTAGCCATCATCTTGCTTCTTCCACTCTGACCCCACGTCCTTCCCACGCCCAACCCCGCTATACCCACTTCTCCTGGCTTCTCTGGTTCTTCCAACGAACCTACACCCTCGCTTCCTATTCCAGGCAGATCCTGTGTAGGACCCGAGCTCGTGGCTGATACACTTGACACGGCCGAGCTCATCTCCACGGCTTTCTGTTTGCGGAAGCGATATGACATTGCCCATAGTATTGCTCTGACGTCCCAACTGGTAAAGGTAGGATACGTCCATAACTCCAGCGCATTATGAGGAGGTATGTGCTCGAGAAAGTCGCTTACAACGCCGAGTGTCAACCCCCAAAGTAATAGCGGCGGCCTGCGGTCTTTGGATCGCGAGGCGGGTCCTGCTAGGGCGTCTCTCGCATGGCTTAGTACACCTTGCGATTCTTCGTCAATGGGTATAAAGTCTGGGATAGTTGCGCAATGTGTCGAGTTCGCGGGGACTAGTTGTATAGCTGCAAACATCATTTTGCTTAGCATTGCCTGCAGGAACCAACGCTTGATACCCAGTTCGGATTTTGCTAGACGTGCTGAGACATCGGCGTATTCGTGTGTGCGTAGTGCAGGCGAAAGGAGTGCGCGGATAGGGACCCAGTGGGAAGATGCTACCTCGGTGGGCTGCAGACGTTGTGGTGGATAGAAGGGCGAAGTCAGAAGGTAGATGTATGGACATAGAACCATGAGCCTATGCATCAGGATTAGCCTTGATACTCACAATATTTGTTTACTATCCGCCCTCGCAAGGCGAGGCTGAGCCTGAGTCTACAAGAATTTAACGTACGGTACTTTACCCCAGCTCGTCGTAACGATGCGCTGAGGCAGGTTGCCCACGGCGATGGCATTGTCGGGACTCAGATCAATACCGACTTCCTCGAGCGCTTCGCGCGCAGCCGTGACTTGGTCATCGCTATCCTCGGGATCTCGCTTTCCACCAGGTAGCGCGACATGTCCATTCCACTTGTCACCAATCCTTGTAGCCCGCTTTATGAAAAGTAGTTCCGGATCACCGTGCTTGACCCATTCCTGATTGAAGAAGGCACTTAAGGAGGACTCAAAGTCGAACTCATCTGCGGGCTTTGCGACCGAGGAGCGTCGGCGTCGCTTCGGTAGAGGACTATCGGAGCTGTCGGGCCAATGTGCGTAACTGGGTTGTATGCGTAGGATCAGAGCTACCGAAGCGCGTTTCGGTAAATCTGGTGGACACGCGACGTCTGGATAGGGGTTGGCGTTGAGCTCAAGCAGTACAGATTGGAGGTGATTGACGAGCTCCTCGGTGTTCAGAGCCTCTGCCATGCTGCTGTCGGAGCTGCACTGTGTTGGCTATGTAAGCCACGCTGCGAAGTCAGCCGTACGATGGAGTGGCCGGCACCCCGTTGTAAGAAGTGATTTCTTCTAGTGTTATCCAAGAGACCCCTATATAGAAGAGCAAAGAACACGAGATCACGATAGAGATCCGATGTAGTATCCGAGGTATATGGAACAAGATCTAATGCGCGTTATCGATAAGTTGGAAAGGAGAGCCGAGACGTGAGCCATTGCTGATCCTAGTGATTGGCTACATGACTTCACCTTGTGAAAGCACGAGAAACCAAAGAAAAAGCTCTTGGAGCATTGCTGAATCGTTCTTGCGATTCCAGCTACAACATAATAGCAGCGATAAACGACGCGCGCTGGGATAACCCAGTCGTGTTGGACATGTAGTAGTTTGTAGAGTGGAGGAGCTTTGGCCAATCGGACCGGCGCCATGGAGGGGCAGCAAAATGAGGTCAGTCTTGAGCCCCGCGACGCCAAAAAAATCTCCACAGTCTCTTGCGCCACTGCTTTGTACCCCAGATCTGACTTTGAGCAGTCTGTAACTTTTCAATTGATTCGTAGATTCTCATACAATCAGTCAAAATGGGCGGCCAAAAGACAGGTGAGCCAGATTGATAACCAAATCTAAAAAAAATCAAAATCGTTAATGAGATGCGGCAGCCATTCTGTCCGTGTACGACAAGACCGGTCTTCTTGACCTGGCCAAGGGACTGCACGAATGCGGTGTCCGCCTACTTGCGTCTGGCGGCACAGCCAAGATGATCCGCCAGGCCAACTTCCCAGTAGAAGATGTCTCTGCCATTACTAAGGCGCCTGAAATGCTCGGTGGGCGTGTCAAGACGCTGCACCCTGCTGTTCACGGCGGCATTCTCGCACGCGACCTCGACTCGGACGATTCTGATCTCTCTGCAAACAGCATCGACAAGATTGACTTTGTCGTTTGCAACCTGTACCCTTTTTCTGAGACGGTTGCTCGTATCAACGTCACAATCCCAGAGGCAGTTGAGGAAATTGACATTGGAGGTGTGACTCTGCTCAGGGCTGCCGCAAAGAACCACGCCCGCGTCACTATCATCAGCGACCCCAACGACTACCATGACCTCCTCACCGAGCTCAAGAAGAACGGCGAAGTCTCAGAGACCAGCAGGCAACGTTATGCGCTCAAGGCTTTCGAGCAGACTTCCTCGTACGATACTGCGATCTCAGAGTTCTTCAGGAAGAAGTACGCGGGCGACGGCGTCCAGTACCAAACCCTCCGATACGGAGCGAACCCTCATCAAAAACCCGCAACTGTCTCCATGGCAGAGAAGCCGCTGCCATTCAAGGTGCTCTGCGGTTCTCCAGGATACATCAACTTGCTCGATGCGCTCAATGCATGGCCACTCGTGCAGGAGCTGACCAAGGCACTGAACTACCCAGCCGCTGCCAGCTTCAAGCACGTCTCGCCTGCCGGTGCAGCCATCGGAGTCCCACTCAGCGAGGTAGAGCGCAAGGTATACATGGTTGATGACATTGAGGGCATCGAGACCTCAGGACTGGCGCAGGCATATGCGAGAGCCCGTGGTGCCGACAGGATGTCAAGTTTCGGCGACATGATTGCTCTATCCGCCGAGGTTGATGTAAGGAATTGTCGAATGATTGCTGTGACTCAATGACTGACAGAATACAGGTCCCAACCGCCAAGATCATCAGCCGTGAAGTTTCCGACGGTGTCATCGCTCCTGGCTACAGCGCCGAAGCCCTGGAGATCCTCAAGAAGAAGAAGGGTGGAAAGTACCTGGTTCTTCAGATGGACCCCGAATACGTTCCAGGCCCAGAGGAATCTAGGACCGTGTTCGGGATCACGCTCAAGCAGCACCGCAACGACGCCAAGATTCTTCCTTCTGACACATTCAACACCGTCATTGTGCCTAAGAACTCGCCTCCTCTGCCAGAGTCAGCTCAGCGCGATCTGACCGTCGCTACTATTGCTCTCAAATACACTCAGTCAAACAGTGTATGCTATGCGCTCAACGGCCAACTCATCGGTCTTGGAGCTGGCCAACAATGTAAGTCTTATTCGACTCCAAAACTACGCTAGTTGCTAACAAGTAACAGCACGTATCCACTGCACCCGTCTTGCTGGTGACAAAGCCGACAACTGGTGGATGCGTTTCCACTCAAAGACGCTCAACCTAAACTTCAAGAAGGGCACCAAGCGCCCTTCCAAGTCCAATGCCATTGATCTCCTCTGCTCAGGTCTCGTTCCCGACTCGGGCATTGAGCGCGAGGACTTTGAGGCGAACTTTGAGGAGGGTCATGTGCCCCAGCCTTTCACTGCCGAGGAGCGCAAGGAATGGTTGTCAAAGATGGAGGATGTAGCAGTCAGCTCCGACGCCTTCTTCCCCTTTATCGATAACGTCTTCAGAGCGCACAGGAGTGGAGCCAAGTACATTGCTGCACCCACAGGTAGCCAGAATGATGGCGCCGTTTTCGAGACGAGTGAGAAGCTGGGTATCACCTTTGTTGAGCAGCACATCAGGCTGTTCCACCACTAAGAGGATGATGGATGGGATTGCTGAGATGGCATGTGGCGAAGATGCTCATATAAAATGATACGACAGCGCAGCTGAGCGTTAGTTGGATGAACTTACGATACCTTTGAAAAGTGGTTATTTCAACATTTCCTCGCAATAAAACTTTTCTTCTACTTATTCTAGTGCATTGAATACAAGTGTGTGATGAATGCCTGGCATCGTGCGCTCATCCAGGCTGATCCTTGTGCGTTTGTGGAATGGCGTCGTCTGGTGCAGTGAGGCGTGGCTGAAGGGTTGGTGTAAAGCAATATTGATGGCCAACGTTCGACGCGCTAATGTTTGCTATTTGCTGCAAACGGCAGACGTTGTCCAGGAGACCAGCCCGTTTTGGATTAGTTTTGGGCTAGACCGCAACGCAAGGAATAGATGGAGGGCGCTTCACCTGGAATTGTTATTCTACACCGCTGCTACGAACAACTCACTGCCAACGCCTCAATCGCTTTTGGGAGTATCGGATCGACTCATTGCGACTCTTGGGAATTGAACACGAATCCTTGAAGCCTTCAACATGTCCGCTCAGCCAGACAACCAGCAGATGGAGGGTGTCCAGGACCCCACTACCGACGTGAAGGGCAAGGGCAAGGCTCAGGAGGGCGACGCGATGGAAGAGTCCATGGATGATGATTCCAGCGATGAGTCTGGTGCCGAGGATCAGGTGCGTTCTTTTGACCCATTGTAGCCCATCTCAGTGCCAGCAGCTAACACAATCGCATACAGGCCGGTGAACGTAAGCCATTCACACGCGAATGCATTCGAACCAATTCATCAACTGACACATGAGCAGCCGAAGAGCCCGATGAGGACAACATGGAGGAGATTGAGACATCCAACATCATCAGCAGCCGCACGCGCGGTAAGAACATCGACTTCAGCAAGGCCAACCAGGAGCTTGAGGGCGACGACGACGAGGATGACGACGAGGACTTTGTCGACCCCGACGACCAGATGAAGGATTAAGGGGGATCTGTGCAAAAAATCTCTCTTCTTTGTCTTTTGGTAAGTTTTTCGCGCCTGTTCGCCCCCCAATTCACACCGCCTTTGACCACGCCTGCTAACTTTGTTGCTCGAAGTCACCCTTTGCGCAAAACAAGGCACGTTTCGGTACCGAAGTTCGGCTTGAATCTTTGACATACACATAGGCAGAAAAGATGCTAGGTGGCGGAGAGAGAGAGGAATCTGGGTCGACACTTGGAGTTGTAGGCGCGCGTACCCTTTTGCTGCCAGGCGGGATGGTGGGGCGACGCGAGACCCTGTGTTTCTTGACGCGCAAACAAACTTGCGCGACATGGACAATGAATGGATTGGATACTCTGCGTCTGCCATGTAGCATCAACAAAAATGATGAATGAAAGTGAATGATACACGATTGTTTCGCGGATTGAGTGAATGCATACTGATCACTACGAAGGACAATACTTACTAGGACCCCAAGCACTATACAAATATCCCTAGACTTGACGTGCTCGATTTAATAGCGGGATAGAGTAGTACCAACTGTAGCGCCATGTCTACTCTATTATCCCTACGCGCAGGCAGCTAGTTTGGACCCTTCCCTTCCCTTGCTTGTTTGTTCTCCAAGGGTGCATACAGACATGCCAGCACACAGGCATCAACCCCGCACCCTCCCTTCCCCCAGCTGTAAGATGCCAAGGCTGGGTAAGTACATGAGCTTGCAACATCAGACCGTGGATTGCACGACAACAATGCATGCAGCGCTGTTTATTTTTAATGTATGCTGTGATTAGTGTTGTTTCTATCTAAATTTGTGGTTTGTGTATAAAGTTATGCCACTTTCACGTAACCTCACAAAAGCAATGCTTGCGAGCACAATGGCCCCACCACAGCAGCAGCAGCAGCACCACCACCACCACCACGGCCACTCCCAAGTCACGAGGTTTGGGCANGGGGGGGGTGGAGGGGATTGTGGTACACTAAACAGCAGTCAAGGCAAGTTGGTCCGTAGTACGTTATGTAAATCAGCCTGCGTACGCAAGCATCCAGTCGCCACAGCACCAGCAGTGCAGTAGGACTGTCAAACGGGCCGGTTGTCCCGTATTGCCAAAGTCTATTTTGCCAATGGGAGGGGGAAAAAAGGGTGAGGCCAGGTAACGTGTGTATGTATGGTGGGAAGATCTTTGCGGGAGGGGAGGATGGGGAGCGTGGGTTGAGAATTAATTTTGCCTTGATGTGCAGAGCGTGGGGGTTTGATGGATACTGGAACTGCCTAAGAGGAAGAAACGACAAAACAAAGAAAAGGATCATCTGTGGTTTTAGCTTGTTTGGGTAACTCGAGGTAAAAGGAAGGAAAAACAGGGGTCCCGTGATCTGTGCAGAAGGGTAAGTAGGCTTGCTAGGTTCGAGTTACTCGTTTTGTGCGTGGTGGTAGTCGGGAGGAATAGGGTTGTTGCAAAAAGGGCACGTGATCGGGATGGGGGTGCGTGCTATTGGAACCTTGTGCCCCGCTTTTTCTGGGACGAAGCGATCTTGATGGCAAAATGGCAAGCGTTGCAGTTCTCAGGTAAAGGGTCCAAGTTTGTGGGTTATTCTTTGAAATGTGACTGTGGAGGGAATGGAGTTGTAGGTCATTGTGCCGAGGGGCAATGTCTGTTGAATTCTGTTTTAGTGAGTGTGCAACAGGGAAGGGAGCCAGATATTTGGGATGCTTTCTCTTTTTTCTTGTTTGGGGAAAACCAAGGCATCGGGACATGAGTGCGATCTTGCCGGGCAGATGGACTGCCTTGAGTCGGGAATCAGATGTTGAAGTCGGACTCGGCGTCTGGGAGATGGGGCACGTCGGAAAACAGCCACCATTTTCGACTCTTTTCGCACAAAGGCCCGAAGCGAAGGTACATGGCATTAGGTACACGAATCCTGCAGAGATTGGCCGTCGAATGGCAGTGGTAAGATTGGCACTAGGTCGGGGGTGCTGAGCACAGGTGGTGTGTTTTGATTGCGTTGAAGAAATTCCTGGTATATCCGCCGGGTAACGTGTGCAGGCTGGGTAGGGCCACAGGCGACATCGGCCAGACCAGACCAGCAGAACAAAGGCCTGGCTGTTCTCGTGACCCGTCTCCCGCTACGTGGTGCCGGGCTGCAGGCAGTGTGCGTCCCGATCTGTTCCGAGCATGATGCGGACACTGTTGCTTTGGTGGCCAGCGGCCAGCGGCCAGCAGCCAGCAGCCGTGGCGGGCTGGTCAGAATGGCCCAATGCGTGGGAGCATGTGAGCGAAGGACAAGCAGAAGGGATCCTTTGCAGAGGCCCCAGGCTGCGGCTAGCTGGGTGATATTCACTGCAAGCTGCGCTGCAATGATGTCGTCGACTGCGCAGTCAAGCAATGAGGGCGGAAGCTCCGCCGCGCACGGGCGGGGTTATATCTTGTCCCGTCCAACGAGGGGCGAGAGAGGGCAGGGCATAGCGCGAGCTCCCGCCCCGGAGATGCTTGGGCGCAGATAAGGCCAGACATGACCCTTGGGAATTACGCCAAAGCGGTCGAGGCGAGGCCGGCGGCCCAATTGGCGCGGGCGAGATTCAGATGATGCGGCACATGCAACCGTCTGGTCATCCGCCGCCAACCCGACCAACCCGACCTTCGGAGGCCAGCCTGCCAATGCACACACGAACGGCTGCAGGACGGTCGGCCCCCGCCGCCCAATCACGCCCACTGTTATCGTCATGGACCGGCAGAAAAACCGTGGGGTAGGCTAATTTTCCCATGCGCAACCCGCCGCAGAAGTCGCTATACAGTATCCACACACGACCACCAGTGCCAACCGTCCGCCACGCCGCGGCACACGCTGTGCGAAGCAATGGCTCGCAGGCGGACCTCGCGCTGGCCGTGGCGAGCTGCAAACACTCGTGGGCTGCCATTGCAAAAAAAAAAAAATAACTAGACCCTGAGAATCTCAATTTCATGTGCCGTGGTGAAGGAGGGGGGCGCGTCATCTCACAACCACATGCAAACAAAGCACCAAGCCTTCAATCCACCCCCAGCACCAGGCAGTCCCCAGTCTGCAGCGGCAGAGAGACCGACCCGACCGACCGACAAGGCCTACAAGTGACAGCAGAAACGCCTCCCTCGACGCGCTTCTGGCCCCGTCATTGGACACTGTCAGGTCGATTGCTAGCGCATTGGGAAAATATCCACCCCACCACCAGCCCTCCGCCCTCTTATTCATAAGCACTCCCTCCCAGCCGACCGCGCCCTCTACCCTCTCTCCCTTCTTGTCTTGTACCCTCTCCAGCACAATCGCTACAATCTACTTGCAGGAACACCGCGAGCCGACTACATACACGGCCAGTTCCATTAGTCCCCACATCGAGTAAGTGAGTGCTCTGCCTCCCATGTCTACGCCTGCTGCACCCACCCACCCACCTGCGACCATACACTGTGCTTTTCCACCGCCACGCCGGCCTGGCTTGTATTAGCCACCGTCCTACTGCACTCTGGGCTGCTACCCCGCGTGTGCCCATTCGCTGCCTCTCTTATCAGCACCTCCTCTGCCTGGATGCCCCATTATTCGCCGCGGGGATTTGCCTGAGCGTCATAGCTATCAATTGCTTACCTCCGCCCAAATCCCCCTACTCAGCGACCCGGTCCCATTGTTTGGCTAGCTCCCACGGTGTTTTATGGTTGCAATCCCCTCTAGCAACACTCGTTCCCCCCCACTCGCATTTGTTGCTTTTGAAACTAGGCGTATGCGCCCCGTTGTACCAAGCTACCTTTGACTCTCGGCCCTCTTGCTCGCGCACACAGCTGGCTTCTTCGTTTTCTTCTTATGAACCAAAAATTAACTCCTCTCCCAGAACTCATCAGTAGACTAGACCACCACCTCCACATCGACGCATCGAGCGACCCCGCCATACGCCGATAACGATACTGCACCCTTCCTACCACCAACACCAACGATACCCACGAATTCGGCCTTTTGCCGATATAATGGGTCGGGTCTCGTTCGCCGAAGATACAAAGTTGCCCCAGGATACCCAGATTGAAGAAGAGCAGACTTCAGTGTTTGCTTATCAGGATGGCCCGGAGAACAAGTCCTGGGCAGGTGCGCTGCCCTTGAAGCAGGGTCTCTACGACCCAGAGCTAGAGAAGGATGCTTGTGGTGTCGGTTTTGCTGCGTAAGTGACAAGCACAATCAGTTTGCTGAGAGTGCGTGACAACCAACTGACAATTGTCTAGCCACATAAAGGGCAAGGCTAGCCACAAGATCGTCTCTGACGGTAAGAAATCTATATACATCCAGAATTGAACAAATATAGATACTGACAAATCAACAGCACGGTCATTGCTATGCAACATGACCCATCGAGGAGCCGTTGGCTCCGACGCAAGAGACGGTGACGGTGCAGGTGTAATGACCTCCATCCCCCACCGATTCTTCCTCAAAGAGTTTGAGCGTGAACAAGGCTACAAGCTGCCCAAGCTTGGCCAGTACGCCACTGGTAACCTGTTCTTCAAGCCTGACCCTAGCATCTTGGATGAGACCAAGACCATGTTTGAGGATGTTGCAGACCAGCTCGACCTGAGGGTGCTTGGATGGCGAACGGTGCCGCGCGATTCAACACTTCTTGGACCCGCGGCCTTGTCACGAGAGCCCATTATTCTCCAGCCATTTGTTGTTCTAAAGACTGCATACGGTGATGGTCGGGAGCCAAAGGCTGATTTCCAGCAAAAGTACGACAACGCATACTTTGAGCGACAGCTCTATGTCTTGCGAAAGCGGGCTACACACGTCATTGGCCTACACAACTGGTTCTACATCTGCTCACTGAGCAACAAGAACATTGTCTACAAGGGACAGCTTTCCCCAGTTCAGGTCTATGAATACTACCACGATCTGCTCAATGTCGATTACGAGGGCCACTTTGCCTTGGTGCACTCGCGTTTCTCGACCAACACATTCCCCAGTTGGGACCGTGCGCAGCCTCTGCGATGGGCGGCTCACAACGGTGAAATCAACACCTTACGAGGAAACAAGAACTGGATGCGAGCACGCGAGGGTGTTATGAAGTCTAGTCTCTTTGGCGAGGAACTTGATCTTCTCTACCCAATCGTCGAGGACGGTGGCTCAGACTCTGCGGCTTTTGACAACGTCCTTGAACTCTTGACCATCAACGGCGTTCTGTCTCTCCCAGAAGCAGTCATGCTCATGGTACCAGAAGCATGGCAGGGCAACAACACCATGGATCCCGCCAAGGCGGCCTTTTACGAGTGGGCTGCTTGTATGATGGAGCCTTGGGATGGTCCTGCGCTCTTCACTTTCTCGGACGGGCGGTACTGTGGTGCTAACCTTGACCGAAATGGTCTGCGGCCTTGCCGTTACTACGTTACTGATGACGACCGTATTGTCTGCGCATCCGAAGTCGGTACCATTTCCATCGAGCCTGAGCGAGTCGTTCAAAAGGGACGTCTGCAGCCCGGTAGGATGCTGCTTGTCGATACTGTCGCTGGCCGAATTGTCGATGACGCTGAGCTGAAGAAGTCCGTTGCGGAGCGTAACGATTTCCGCAGATGGATCGAAAAGAACCTTTTGACTCTTCCCAAGATTGTTCAGTCCGTCGGCGAAAAGGGCATCGATCTTTCTCATTCGCTCACTGAGACTAAGCTTCACGAAGACCCTCGTCTGCGAGCATTCGGTTATTCTCTCGAGCAAGTCAGCTTGCTTCTCGGACCCATGGCTGCCGACTCCAAGGAGGCTCTTGGATCCATGGGCAATGATGCTCCCCTTGCTTGCTTGGCAACACAGCCTCGCTTGTTGTACGAGTACTTCCGTCAGCTTTTCGCTCAGGTCACCAACCCTCCTATTGACCCTATCCGTGAGGCTATTGTCATGTCTCTCGAGGCCTACGTGGGTCCTCAGGGTAACCTGCTAGAGATGGATGAGTCTCAGTGTGGTCGTCTGCTTTTGCCATCCCCAATTCTTACTCTTGAGGAGTTCAAGGCAATGACCAATGCCCATACCCTCTACCGCGAGTGGACTGTCAAGAGCATTGACATCACCTTCCCCAAGAGCGAGGGCATCGAGGGATACATGAATGCCCTCGACCGTATCTGTGAAGCGGCCACAGAGGGCATCCAAGCTGGTGACAACATTCTCGTCTTGACCGATCGTGCAACATCCGTCGACCGTGTTGCTGTATCTGCTTGCTTGGCTACTGGTATGGTTCACCACCACCTTGTCCGCAACAAGTGGCGATCCAGTGCAGCTCTCGTTGTTGAGACTGGCGAGGCTCGCGAGGTTCACCACATGTGTGTCCTTGTCGGATATGGTGCTGATGCTGTCTGCCCCTACCTTGCCATCGAGTGTATCCTAAAGATGCACCGCGAGGGTATCATTCGCAAGAACTTGACACCTGAACAGCTCATTCAAAACTACAAGCACTCCTGCGATGGTGGTATCTTGAAGGTCATGAGTAAGATGGGTATCTCGACGCTCCAATCCTACAAGGGTGCCCAGATTTTCGAGGCTCTCGGTCTTGACGACTCTGTTGTCGACCGCTGCTTCACTGGCACTGCATCGCGTATCAAGGGTATGACCTTTGAGCTTATCGCAGCCGATGCATTTGCTCTCCACGAGAAGGGCTTCCCATCTCGCCCTATTGTAGAGGTACCTGGTCTTTCTGAGACTGGTGAGTACCACTGGCGTGATGGAGGCGAGCCTCACGTCAACGACCCTACTGCAATGGCCAACCTCCAAGATGCTGTTCGCACCAAAAACGACAAGTCGTATGAGGCTTACTCTATCGCTGAGTATGAGCGTATCAAGGACTGCACCCTTCGTGGTCTTCTCGATTTCAACTTTGATGACCGTGCCCCTATCCCCATCGACCAAGTCGAGCCATGGACTGACATTGTGCGCCGCTTCGTCACTGGTGCCATGTCCTACGGATCCATCTCTATGGAGTCACATTCCACTCTTGCTGTCGCCATGAACCGTCTTGGTGGAAAGTCAAACACTGGAGAGGGTGGTGAAGACCCTGAGCGCAGCTTGCGCATGGAGAATGGCGATACTATGCGCT